TAGGCTACAATTAAATAATTAATTCATAACGAATTAATTAACAACAACCATCCCTCCCCTCCCCAAAAACGTTGCGTTCTGACACGGATGACCCTTGCTATCCATGGTTTTTTTCGACGCCATTGTTGTCATGAATAATTCCGTGGAGCGTCGAGTGGTCACGTGACAAATTATGAGGCGCGTACAATTTAATTCTTTTTTATTGATAGGCGCGCATTTCTTTGCGCAGCTCTTCACCATTTTAGACGCGTGATGGCGTGCACGCGCAATTGCGCACCTTAAAGGACAAGCCCTGCATTACAAATGTCATTTGTACAGTGCATATCATTCTTCATCATGCACGATGTGTAACGTTAATGTTTGTTTCACCAATTTTGTGACCAGAGGCACCATAAACCACGGGAAAGTTAGGGCGATTCCAATGGCCAGAAATTCATGACACAGGCCCCTGATCTGCAGCTCCTGTCTGATCTGCTGCTCGCATGGCTGCATCTTCAATCATACCCATGAAACATTATATTTCATGACGCTGCCCAATTTGCAGCATGCATCTGCATTATATTTCACAACCCCATTTTGGGGGTTTAGATGGAGCTGTGTTTTTTTCTCATTATAAACCCATCTTTCACATTATACCTCATCATGTCCTGCGGGTTATCCGAAAAGTATCCGTTTTGCTTTTGTTTAGAATTTAACCAAAGGTACGCTAGCTAGGCTAATGCTATGCTAAGTCTGAGCTAAAACTTCCAAGATCATAAGAACATAAGAAATTCACAAACGAGAGGGGGCCATTCGGCCCATCAAGCTTGTTTGGGGAGAACTAAACTAATAGCTCAGAGTTGTTAAAATCTTATCTAGCTCTGATTTAAAGGACCCAGGGTTTTAGCTTCCGCCACACTAGCAGGAAGACTATTCCATACTCTAACTACACGCTATGTAAAGAAGTGCTTCCTCAAATTTGTTTTAAAATGTTCTCCTGCTAATTTGCCATGAGTTCTAGTATTTAAACTAATATTGAAATAGCCATTTGGCTGAACAGCATCCAGACCCATTAGAATCTTATAGACCTGGATCATGTCCCCCCTTAGGCCCAATCCCAATTCTATTTTCTACCCCTTTGCCTACCCCTCACCCCTTCCCCTTGCCCCTTGAAATGAAGTGGAAAGGGGTAGGGTTAAAAAATTTCCCCTAAGAAATGGGACACCACTACTACACTGTTATACGTCATCATCCATTGTCACTACCTCCTAACGTTACGTCAGAGGACATGCGCCGATGTTTATCACAAATTCCAAGATGTCGCCGTCAGCATCGTAGCATGTAAAGATTACTCACTCCCAAAGTTTTTTTGCGCCGTATTTGGACTTTAAAAACAGA